GCTGCTGCCCGGCGCTGGGCTCAGAGGGAGCGTCCGAGTGAGTCCGTGCGGGGCCCTTTAGAGGAGCTGCTGGGGCTCCCGCAGCCTCCGCGACCCTCAGAGACAGTCCCCGCTGGTTTCACAGTCCGGAGTTGTGGCGACGTCTCTTCCCGGCCCTGGAGCCTGGGCTGGGGGCCTGCTGGGGGCTGGGACCCCTCCCTCCGGGAAACCCCCACCGCCGAGATTCCCTCCCGGGTTTCAACCGTGGCACCAGGTGTGGGCCCGCGGCCGCGTCTCCGGGATTCAGCCCCGACCCGCCCGCGTCTCCGCCCCTCCTACGGGTCTCGGTGCTGCTTCAGCTCCCTGCTTGTGGGGCTTCTGTGCCGCCAGGTCTCAGGAGGCTCTGAGGGACGGTGGTTCTGTGTTTAGTTGTGATTTTGAGGTGGTTGCGGGAGGCGGCGGGTGCAGCTGTGACCAACCTGCCATCTTGTTTCTCTCCAAAAGTTACAGCTTTTTAAAGACTGAGGATATAACCGTCTTTAGCCTTCACTTTTCAGCTTCTAATTAGTTGTTGTTTTTTAATGGAGAAGAGGTTTCCGATAAAGTGGCACATTTCGGGAATAAGCTGAGATTGGAAATGAGCAGGTTCGAGTGGCTGAGGAAGACCTGGAAGCCGGCAGCGTCTTGCTCTGCCACCAGCTGGCACCGCCAGCCGGGACCTGTTGGCTGCGGGTGGGGGTGGTGCTGTGACGAGGAGCACCTGGCGGTGGGCAGCTGTTAGTGGCTCTTCAGTCGAAGTACATCTCATTAGAGGGGCCTGGTGCAGACTGAAGCCCAATTAAAAAGATTTTCAATTTTGCTGTGTCGATGGCCACAGGCTAAAACCGTGACTAGGAACTGCTGAGAGAGTTGAATCGTTTAAGTTGGGATAATTATACTTCCTAATGATGAATTCCACAACGCAGTGCTTGTGCACAAGGAGAACATGCTTTCCTTTAGGTGAGCGTGTGACCTGGCGTTTGAGGCTGAATATATTTTGGAAGAAATGGTGTTGGCGTAGGGCTCTGTCACATCCTGAGGAAAAGGCACCGACTTAGAGTCTCCCGAGGGCTCATGGTCACGCGGTTGTGTGAGCGCGATCTGGGAACACCAACACATGTTCTTTGTTCTTTCGGTAGGTTTGCGTTTCCTCACAGCTTTGTCTCGAAGACAGAACCATGCCAAAGAAAGCAAGGCCTGCGGGGACTGGGAAGGAAGAGGGGCCCGCTCCCTGTAAACAGCTGAAGGTGGAGGCAGCTAGGGGGCCCTCCACCTTAAACTTCGACAGCCCCAGTGGTTTCTTTGAAAGCTTCATCTCGCCCATCAAGACGGAGACTTTTTTCAAGGAATTCTGGGAGCAGAAGCCCCTTCTCGTTCAGAGAGACGACCCTGCGCTGGCCGCGTATTACCAGTCCCTGTTCAAGCTCTCAGATCTGAAGAGTCTGTGCGGCCGGGGTGTGTACTATGGAAGAGACGTGAACGTCTGCCGCTGTGTCAATGGGAAGAAGAAGGTTTTAAATAAAGATGGGAAAGCGCACTTCCTTCAGCTAAGGAAAGATTTTGATCAGAAAAGGGCAACCATTCAGTTCCACCAACCTCAGAGATTTAAGGTAACAGTTTCCCCTCGGTGCAGAACCCTCGAGTGTTTAAAGTGTTACCATTTGGCCACAAATCAGCTCAGGGATGAACCTGTGGTTTGATGGCGATTTGCCTCCTGCCAGCTTGAGAAGAGGCATCACCTGTTCGGTCTTCAAATGCATCCCCAATTAGGAGACTGTGTTACATTCGGCTACATTGTTACAAAATGTCCAACATTCGGGGCGGACATGGTTAGGTGTCACGGAGCTGCAAAAGCTAAATTATGTTGCTAGTTTATAAAGTTTACTGAAGTAACATTACGCCTCCAGGAGCATGTTCTGTGGGCTGGTTTGTGTTTTGGTTCAGGGTAGACATTTCTGTTTGGTTTGTCCCATCCTTCTCATTTAAGGCATGTAAGGCAGCATCAGGGTGGTCATTTTCTTCTTGACGTTGCCTCCCTTTACTGCCTGCATCCACCTAGGTGGAGGCTTCAGAGCTATGACCGGATCACATACCAGATGTGTGTTCAAGAAAGAGACTTCACCCTTATGAACAGCAGCCCACCCGTGTGGCAGCGAGGGGCTGGGTCCTGCAGCTTCTCCCACGGTGGAGGATTGCTTCGATTTGCAAGTCTGGCCAGCTTTTTATTTTTTCCCTGCTCATCTACTTAAGCCTTGCATATTCCCCCTTGTTCCAGGTGGCCAAGAAAAAAATTTTTTTATATATGTATATATTTATGTTTATAAATATATATTTTATATATATTTGTATATATAATTTTTTTTTTTGCATTGTGGACTCAGCCCTTTGGCCATGTTTATTAAAACTGGAAGGATGTGCTTTCTCAGTCTAAACTCGGCCCCCAGGCTAGACTAGGACACACCCAGTGTTGAGAGACCTCTAGCTCTAGGAGCTCATCCTGTTCCCCTGGAAGCTGGGTTCTAAGTGTCATATCGCGAGGAGATGGAATGTGGTGTGTGTGTAAGAACGGGCATGGTACCGTCGGGATGGGAAGAGGCAGGTCGGCCCCGTTTAGTGCGTCTCAGAATGTGCATAGCTTATTCTCGTGAGTCTGGAGGCGAGTTAACCAGGGAGCCATGCTTGTCCCCACCTGCTTTGTGTAATCCATGTGACCATCCTCTGGGGGAGTTTGCCAAATACTCACACGTGTGTTATCTCTTGAACCTTCTAACAGACATCTGAAGTAGGGCAGTCATTGTGGTCTCCGTTTTACCTGTGGAAAAAACCAGTTCACAGGTGTGGCTTTTCCATAGTTACTAAGTAAGGACTTCTGACTCCAAATTTAAGGCATATTCTTACAATACTTTTAAAGATGCTAACTAAAAGGTAGGGCTTTTGTCATGCTTGTTTAGGCGCAGGCATGGGCTTCGGTCTGAGCCGGGGCGCTCAGCCTTGATTCTGTGGGTGGGGCAGTGGAGGGAGGAGGTGGCACCCTGCCAGGAGAGTGGCTTCCGCCTCCCCGCGCTCGGTCTGGTGCAGTCCTTGGCATCTCCAGACACAGTTGGGAGTCATGAGTTAAAGGAGAAGACAGATGTGAGGAGCTCCCGTCCCGCCTAAGTCAGCCTCGGTGAAGCAGTAGCACTCACATACTGCTTTGCGATTTAAATAGGATTAGGGATAAGTTATTTTATGACGTTCCCCACAAGCGTCGGGTGGGAGTCTTCATTTTGCAGATCAAGCAGCTGAAGTCACCCAGCTTGTAACTATTACATGGACTGAAATTGACTGACTCCAGGTCGCTCTGTAGTAGGTCACACCTGGCAGATTTAGAAGCTAAAGTTCCAGGAGAGAAGGGAAAATCGTACAGTTGAGAGGGTTTTCGGTGACCGTTAAGGAGAAGAGACATAAAGTCATCAGTGACAGGCCCAGATGCTTCAGGCGGGAGCCGTATGGTCCTGAGGCACCTCTCAGGCCACTGGAGAAGAGAGAAGCCCTGGCTTTCCAGGGTTCCAGTCACCATATAAATGTAATTACAGAGCCAAGGCCCGCTGGCCCCTCCCTGGTGTCCATGAGACTCTTTGGGAGCTGTAACTCTTTGGAGCTGTTCAGATGCCATTAAATTAATCCTCTTGAGTTAGGTAGAAGCTCGAGTCCCGAGAGCCATCAGTACAGTAGCCAGTGGACTTTGTAAAGGTGTCTCCCTCCCGAAGCTCTCTTCACACTGACCCCGTTCTTTCTCACTTGATATTCTTAGTGCTATAGATCCCTTTCCCGTCCGCTGCTAGGACTGACTCCCAAGCTGTGGTCATTGGTTTACTCTGCACATATTTTATATGTTGCAGTGTTTTCTATGTGCCGGTCACTGTACGTTCGTGTGCTTGGAACTGGGCCCTGCAGTGTCCTTCGACTTGTCTTGCGTAAGATAATTCCTAGGGCCGCAGGACAGAGTTGTGGTTAAGGGTACAGGCTCTGGATTTGAATCCTGGCTCCATCATTTACTAGCTGTGTGTTCTCGCCTTGGTTTCTTCATCTGCACCTGGAGATAATGATTATTACCCACCGTGAGAGACAGGGTTGTTGGGACGGTCATGTAATTAATGTAGGTGAGCTCTTAGGAACAGTACCCGGCACGCGGGACGCTGACGATGTCTGAGTGGCCTAATTCCCACCTCCCCCTTCACACCTGCCTCGGGAAAGTCAGGCTTCTTTCTCTCTCGCAGGAAATGTGGCTCCTCTCTGGGCCCCCCGTCTGACTTATACCCTGAAGAGCGGATTAGTGACCAGAGAGGGAGTTGGCTCGGCCCCTTCCCTCCTGCGTCTGTACCCACTTTCCTGTTATGCTTTCTTCTCTCATTGCTTTAAATGTCAGTTTCGTGCAGGGACTTCCCGAATGTCAGTCTCCAGTCGTAACTTCTTGCCAGGGCTTCAGACTGAGACAGCCAGAAGCTCACGTAAAGACACCTCCACGTGGGGTCCTAGCCGCTCAACCTCACCATTTCTAACGGAGAACTCCTGTTTCCCCTTCAGGAGCTTGTTCTTTAGCCAGTCTTTCCGGGTTTGGTGAGTGGAACTGGGAGCTTACTGACTGTCCCCGTGGAAAACCCGGGAGTACTGCGTCCGTCAGCAGGTGCCGTCGGTGCCCCTCCCCAGTGCACCTCCACTTTCCTGCGCCTCCCTCTCCCCTCCCTCCGCCCTGGTCGTTCCTCGCCTGGGCTGACGCCGTTGTAGCTTCCCGGCTGGTCTCTTGCTTGTCGACAGTCCACTCTGCACACAGTAGCCAGAGCGAGCGTTTAATGTAAATCGGACCATGTCATTTCCCCGCTTACAATCCTGCCCGACTCCAGGTCGCCCGCCTTGCCCGTCCCGGTCAGTGCTCCCGTCTTCTGTGGCCTGGACACTAGAACAGAAGATTCCCGAGGGCCGAGGTGTCGGCTCCCTCACCGCTTATTAGTTCTCAGTGTCGGGACCTTAACAGCTGCAGTAAAGACCCGATGAGCCAACGAGGACATGTGCCACCCCTTATTGCTAATGTATTTTCACCTTCCCTCTTTCTTTCTTTTTCCTTATTATTATTACTATTTTTTTAGGATGAACTCTGGAGGATCCAGGAGAAGCTGGAATGCCACTTTGGCTCCTTGGTTGGCTCGAATGTGTACATAACCCCGGCCGGATCGCAGGGCCTGCCGCCCCATTATGATGACGTCGAGGTGAGAGGGGAGGGGTTGGCTGCGAGCCGGGCTCGGGACAGAGGTCAGGGGCCAGTTCAGCTCTCGGGCCAGGTCTCTGTCCACTCTTCCTGTGCGGTCTCTGGAGATCGTGACCTCACCTCAATGCTGGGCCAGAATTACTCCCACCAAACTGGTTTCCTTCCTGCTTCTCGGAGGGGACAGACCGTTTCCAGCGGGACTGATACCAAGAGCCACACGTTCCCGTTGAGTTTATCTACAGAGAAGTGTGACTGGCGTTCTCTTTACTTTCACAGCGTATGGTCTTTAATAAGGTGAAGTCACAAAGCAGTCCCTGCATCTGCTTTCGTTTTTCCCTTTCTGTAGCTGCCAGAAATATATAGTTTTTCCGTTTGTGAAAATCTCAGGGCAGCTGGAATGAAGGTCGTGGTTTCCCTGAAGCGCTGGCACCTTGACAGGCGTTGATTTCACTCTCCTGCAGCTGCCAAAAAAGTTAACTCTCTGGCTTAGGTACTTTGTAGTTTTATTTTTGTACCAATACAAGGTGTGAACACACAGTAATTAGTAAAAAAGTCATTACCCCCCCCACCCCCCTTTGAGAGCAATTTGATATCAACACATTTTTTTAAAGTTCTTGGTTCTTTAAAAAAAATATTTTTTAACAGAATATTAAAAAATGTTTGGCTGAATGAAGAATAAAAAACTTGAAGCTTTCCTACCTGCCAAGGATTATATTCAGGATGTTAGACATTCAGTCATACCCGAAGCTCGGCTTTTCCAGAGATTAAGGGCTTTTAGCCGCCTGATAGGAGCTTTAAAGAATGAGAGAGGGTCTAGCGTGGGACAGAGAACTCGGCGAGGCTTCGCGACAGTGAAAAGAATGAATCTCCTCCTGGTATCAGGGCTCATGAATGCCTGTTTTTAAAAGTTAAAACCGGTAGTGGAATGAAATGTATCTCTGATCTTTCATTTTATTTTTCGTCTGAAACTTGTAATTCGTCTAAGCCCTCGGAGGGCGCATGTTCTGGGAGCGCCTGTCTCGTCAGGAAGCGCTCTGACGCTGCTGTGTGGCTCTCGTAGATTTTCATCCTGCAGCTGGAGGGGCAGAAACACTGGCGCCTCTACCACCCCACGGTGCCCCTGGCGCGGGAGTACAGCGTGGAGGCGGAGGACAGGATCGGGAGGCCGGCCCACGAGTTCACGCTGAAGGTACGGGGCCTCCACTGCGGGCTCCGCTCCGGAGACAGGTTCAGGGTTGGGGTTTAGTGATCATGTCCTGGTCCCCGTGGGAGTGGGTCCAGGGCTCGGGGCCGGGTGGCTCACACCAGGCAGCCAGCACCTGCAGCTTCCAAAGGAGACTTGGTAACTTGTAGAAGTGAGCCAAGGAAGCACTAAGTTTATTTTCCAAATAACCTGTCTCCAAATAGAATCCATGTTCAACAGGAATGAATGGTGAATTCGGTGTCCTCTGACTTTTCTCGAGTAGAAGTGGAAGGTTTGATCTTGGGCAGCTGTGCGGGATCTCGGCGGTCAGCACGGGGCTGGAGGCTGCTGAGGCAGAGCACAGCCAGGGCCGCCTTAATTGTTTTGTTGGTAAAATTCCAGAATGACCATTTTCCTCCCCATTGTGCATCGACTCTCTCTGCACTCTTCTCTCTCCCCGCTGCATATAGTAACCAGAAGAATAGCAATTATGAAATCCCTTGGGGAATCCTCCTCCTCCGGGAAGCCAGGTGGCTTGATCATGTTCTGGTTCATTGGCATCTTGCTGCTGAGAAAGCCTCTGAGCAATTAGCCTGGATGGGGTCGTGGACACCAGTCCCCCGTGGGTGAGGTTGTTGAGAAGAAGTCTTAAAGGGATAAAAAAAACCTTCATCATTAAACTTTATACCTTTTCCTACAAAACATAAATTCAGTGTCAATAAGATAATAGTTAATTCGAACCATTTCAAAGATTCTGTNAAACTTTATACCTTTTCCTACAAAACATAAATTCAGTGTCAATAAGATAAGTTAATTCGAACCATTTCAAAGATTCTGCCTACCTGATATACTTGCATATAGTTACTGCTTTGTCTTCTCTTGCATCTTGAAGTTATAATTAGTGTCCAGTTCTTGCTCAGTGCCTTGTGGCCCTTTCTTGATTTTAGAATCTTTGCCTGCCTACCAATTACTGGGGGAACGATCTCCCTTTTTAGGGTGGGTGCCTGTAGGAGACTTAAACACAACAATAAAGATGCCTTTCACTCCTTATGCTCTTGGTCAGCAGTCAGCAAACTATGGCCCATAGGTCAAAATATGGCCTGAGGCCTGTTTTCATAAATGAAGTTTATTGGAATACAGCCATACTCATTCCTGAAGTCCAGTCCAGGACTGCGTTCACATTACACCGCAGGGTAGACTATATTTACAAATATTTACTATCTGACCCTTTACAGAAAGTTTGGCAAGCCCTGGTCTTGGAGAAGCATGTCTATTGAGGCTCCTTGTTAATTACTTTTAGGCCGAAGACTAAGCCATCCATGGCCTCTGAGGCAGGGCTGAGTTACCCAGACTGATGACCGGCTACTCGTGCTGCCCGAGAGGGCCGGGCTGCACAGTGGTCTTCAAGACAGACGGTGTGGGAACGAGGAGATGGAGCAGTGCCCATTAATCACCCCCGTCCTGGTCACAGTCCATTAGGAGATGCCCTGAATCTCCTGGAAGGAGCAGCACAGCACGTGCTGCAGGGTCGTTCCAGTTGTATGTCTGTTACATGAGAGTCTTTAACCCGTGCAACTCCTCAGATGAGATTTTGCGTAAATGCCCAGTATCTGAAATAGAAAAGCTGACTCGCTCTGGTGGGGGTGGGCATGGGGGCTGCGGGGATCCCTGCTCTCCCCTCCCCACTCCAGGGGCCGCCTCTGTGGCACTTCTGCCAGACTCAGGATCTTGGGGTGAACTCGCCCTGTAGTGGGAACTCCAGTGTGGCTTGGGCATCTGATAAACCTGAGTTTGAATCCATCTGCTGACCCTTAGGAGCTGTGTGTCCTTGGGCAGGTTATTTATTTAAATCTGAGTTCCCTTATTAAAATGGAGACCACAGTATTTACATTGTAGGTTGTAGGGATTGAAAAATATTACTTTGATGCCTCCCTTACAGTGAATTCCTTGGAAGAGATGGGTATATGTCAATATATTGCTGCAGATCAGATCACCACAAACCAACACAAACTCAGAGACTTACAACAACGCAAATTTATTACCTTAATGTTCCACAGTTCAGAAGTCCAAAGGGGTTCGCTTGGCTGAAGTCAAGGTATCGGGGTGTGCATTCCTTCTGGAGGCCCTAGGGGAGAGTTAGTTCCCGCGCCTTTCCCAGCTCTCGGGGCCGCCTGCTTCCTGGGCTCGGGGCCCTCCCTGCACCTTGGAGGCCAGCAGCTGGCAGCCTTGTCTTTCTCATGCTTCCTGCTCTCTGGTTCTCATTTCCAGCACCTGCTTCCACGGCTAAGAATCCCTGTGATTACATTGGGCCCACCTGCATAATCCAGAATCTCCGTCAGCAAACCTTGATTCCGTTTGCAACCGTCGTTCACATTGCCCATGAAACCTGAATATCCACAGGTGCCANCACCTGCATAATCCAGAATCTCCGTCAGCAAACCTTGATTCCGTTTGCAATCGTTCACATTGCCCATGAAACCTGAATATCCACAGGTGCCAGGATTAGGACACAGACATCTTTGGGGGCCCTGCCACAGTGCCCTTGGTTTCCTCTCCTCTCCTCCCGGGAGCCCCTCCCTGTAGGCTTTCCTTCCCACCGTTCCTGCAGAACCCCCCTTCTCAAGGTTACCAGTGACCCGCACGCCGACAAGGACAGTGGTCAGCTCTGAGTCCCCCATCTTAGCCTGCCTGTTGGCAGCATTTGACCCTGCGACACTCGCCTTCTTCACGGTTTCAGGGGTGCACCCTCTCTCTCGGTTCTTTTCCCCCCTTACTGACTGTTGCTAGTCGTTCTGTTTCCTGTTTGTCCCCAGTCAGCCTTCCCACCTCTGCAGGTCAGGGGGCCAGGGCTCATTTCCTGGGCCTCTCTTCTCCATCCACGGCCCCTTTCAAGGATTTAAATACCCTCGATACTCATGTGTCTTAAGTGGTGTGTTAGATCTCTAGTCCACGTCTCCAAACTCTGGACTTCTGTCCAGCTGCCTACGTACTGTCTCCATCAGAAAGGCAAAAGGTATGGTAAATTTCATGTTCCTCAAATCAAAATCAAGTCCCACCCCGTCCCCCGGCTCCTCCTCTCTGTAAATGTGTCACTACTTTCCCGCCTGTTTAGGACAAAGCCCTTGGACATGGATTTATACAAAAGCCTCCTATCTGGTGTCCCCTTTGCAGACTTCTCTGACGGAACAACCATAATGATCCTTTTGCGATACAGTATACTTTTTCCCACAGCCCCCGTGACTTTGTAATAAACCCAGAGTAAAAGCCAAATCCTTAGAACAGCCTAGAAGGCCCTGTAATCTGGCCCCTTTGCTGCCTGCTCCCCCCCCCC